GGGGAGAGCACAATTAACACAACAACCCTGTGGTTTCACATTTACACTGCATGCATCATCATGTTCAGCTAAGTGGACGCTCTGATGTCATCCCCGTTTCTAAATGATTTCCAATTCAAAGCCAACATGAATTCAATTTTTTTTATATATATATAAATGATTCATTTTGTGTAATGATGCTCATCCTTGGTGGACATAATAAGAAGTCTTCAGGGGTCATTTTTGACCTGTAAGGGCAGCAGGAGGGTCAAACAAATTTAAAGGGACTTTAAGACCAAAAGTTGGAAATTTTCCTATAAGCAGATGCATTTTGTGACCCGTGCAGCAAAATGAGGCTGCGGTTCAAAGAAACATGAAAAACATGTTTTCTGTAGTTGAGATTTGTATAAAAATGAGTCCATAAAGACGCCAACGAGCTCAAAGGTGGCAGTTGTTTTTATGTTGGATGTCCTTCCTGACGCAACCACAGACCACCGAGCTGCCACAGCCCTCTGTGTGGAGCAGAGAGCTGCCTTCTATGGCGCCCGGGGGAGCAGATGGTGGGGGTTAAGGGCCTTGCTCAAGGGCCCAGAGTGGATCGAATGAGGGTGGAGGCAGGATGTTTCACCTTCCCATCAACATTTTGATGTTGTCCGTATGGGGAGTTGAACCGGCGACCTTCTGATCACAGACCCACCTTCTCTAACCTCTACGACAACACTCCCCTGATCCCAGCAGTATAACCTTCCTAATCTACCTTTAAGTTAAAGTTTTCTAACAGGTATGTAATGAGAAATAACCGTCTTATAACACTTATAATTTTCTTTAAAATTAACCATTTTTCTATGCTGGGAAATCCCGTCATATAGTGTTTGGCATCATTGTGAATCTGGTGGATTTACCTTTCTAAATATACTGCTGGAATTCCCAGTGACATCACTCGAGCCCATTGTCTCCATGTGGCTCAATTTGCAACACTAAAAATAAATTATTTTTGCATTTGATCTGAAGCTTTTTTCTTCGTTGACAGTCAAGTTTTTTATTTGTTCTTAATGTTTAAGTCGTCGCAGGTAAAAAAAAAAAAAATAAATAAAATACTTTCATGTGACAAGATAAATAGCATCACGGATGATTCTTAATTTCAAATGTCACAAACGTGTTGCGTTAGTCTGCGCTGCCACTTTAAGAGTCGTTTGTCCCAGCAGAGCTACCGTAGCTTCCTCTGACAGAAACATGCCACAGTAAAGCTGCGTGTTTTCATATTTAGATGCTGAAGTATTTGTAGATAACAGCTGATGTTATGACTGTCTGCAGTGTTGGCTTTGAAATGTTTAATAGTGTGAACGTTTATGAAGCATTCACATTATTTCAGCTCGTTCAGGACAATCCTGCTTGGCATTGGTGCAACTTTAGCTTTTTGAAATATTTAGCCTTTTCTCTCACTTTTTTCCTCATAGAAAATGAATTAAGCTCATTTTACATCCTTCAAATCTTTAAATCTGTTTACATTTTACTGCTCCTTTCACATTTTGTTCTGCTTCAGCTTCTTTCTGCTAATTTAAACTTGTTTTCAGCTACTTTCAGCTGTTTTGTGCTCCTTTCAGCTTATTTATGCAAGTTTCATATTTTTCTGCCATTTCAGCTAACATTTAGCTGTTTTATGCTAATTTTAGCGTTTTCAGCTAACGCCACATTTTTGCAATAATTTCAACTTTTTGCAGCCTCATTCAGCAAACCTGTGCTCTCTCCACTTCCTTCTTGTAATTTAAGTTTCTTTCTGCCTTTTTAGCTACTTTTCAGCTGTTCTTTGCCATTTTCTGCTTTTTTCTATTTACACTTTTTGGTGCTCATTTCTGCTTCTTTCAGCCATATTGGGCAAACATGTTCTTTCTGCTTTCTTATGCCAAGTTAAGCTTGTTCTAACTTTTTAGCTACATTTTTAGCATTTTGTTTAGCTAATTTCAGCTGTTTTCATACAAATTTATATTCTTCATGGTAATTTCTGCTACTTTCCGCCTAATTAACTTCTTTCTGCTAATTTCAGCTTATGCTCCTTTCAGTCTTTTTCTGATAGTTTCAGCTTTTTCAGCTACTATTTAGCTGTTTGTGCCTATTTTAGTTTTTTCAGCTAATTCCACATTTTTTTAGCTCATTTCTGCTCTTTACACTTCCACTACTTTAAGCTTCATTCTGCTTTTTCAGCTACTTTTCAGCTATTTTCTCCTAATTTCAGCTTCTTCTTTTTTTTAGCTAAGTTCTTTTGTTAATTTAGGCTAGCTGGTCCCTTTCAGCTACATTCAAGCATATTTTAGCTACTTTCAGCTGTTTTCAGCAAGTTCTTCAGCAGTAAGCATTCACACTGCATTTTTGCAGAAAATGCATATTCTCTAGTTTGTGTTTAAATTTCCAGCGATAAACTCGATGCTAATCATGTTAGCTTTCCTTTAACATGTTCAATGGTAGGTTAGCATCAATGCTAACAGTTGGTCAGGATGCACAAGATTAACGTTTGTTTTTGGTAATTTGTTATTGTGCACTCTTTATTAGGCATAAAAATATACATGAATCAGCATTTATTTGTGTAGTACAAGCCACGGTCCCTTCAGTTAGTGAATCTGTATTTGCATGTTATCAACAGCCTCCGGGTGTTTACTCACAAACCAAATAATCAATAATTGCTTTATTATTGCAACTCCTAAAGGTTAAACCCCTGAACCCGGATAAAAAGTCTAGATGTATGAAAGCACTTACAGATCTGTGCTCCGTCTTTCTCCTTCTCCTCAGACTCACTTGCGCTGGTTTTTCTAATCTTCGACGGTACGCTGCTTTCAAGTGCGTCCGCCGTCTGCGACCGCCGCCGTTTCTTCTCCACTTTAGTCGAAGTCTTCTCAGTGCAGGAAGGCTCCACCTCGCCCTCTGCTGCAGGTTTCTTTTCCTCCTCCGCTTCCATGGCAACTTCTTGGACTTCTTCTACGGGCGCCTGCGCTGCTGCGCCTTCTTTCTTTTTCTTCTTCTTTCGCTTCTTCTTCTCTTCTTCATCTACAGAACAACAAAACGACGCTGCACTCGTGGTCTTTAAGGGTAAAAAAAAATCACATCAGCACAGTTTTAAACCTAAACCTACGTGGCAGTGGAACGTCGTCTGGAAAAGGAATGGGCTTCCTGTTCAACGTCTTGGGGAAAATCCCTGGTTTCCTTGGAGCGTCTTCGGGGGGATTGTTCAGCATCTGTTTCAAAGATCAAAACGTCTCACGAGGCTTATTTCACTACAAACCTCTTAAAAACGGAGTATTTCAGTCAGTACTCTCACCTCTACGGCTTTCTGAGCTTGTTCCTCTGTCTCGAACTCGACGAAGGCGAACCCTTTGGGGTCGCCGCTGCTGTGGTACCTGGGGATGCTGACGTACACCACGTTCCCACATTTGGCGAACACTCGTTCTATCCAGCTGTGCGACACGTCTTTGGGCAGAAGTTCCTTTAAAAAGGAGAGAAACAACTAGTGCGATGCAATGAAAGTACAACTGTGTAGGAAGTAAACAGTTTGTTCCATCTAATGTAGGACTGTCAAAAAATGGGGACACTCTACTCCTCGGCACATAGATGTCCACGGAGGTCCTCTCATCAATGTGTAAAGCGCTTTGAGTATCTTGATAAGATAGAAAGGGGCTACATACAGTAAGTACAGTCTATTTACCATTTACTTTCACTCTGTGGTTTGTAGTGGAACAGGATCATGGACTAATGGGATCTAAACCAAGATGCCAAACTAGGCCTGTCACGATAACAAATTTTGCTGGGCGATTAATTGTCTCAGAAATTATTGCGATAAACGATAATATTGTTTCAACTTTGACGATAATTAGTAATTACTGTCAAATTTAAGAAGAAATGTTTGTTAATTTGTTTCGAGTGTAATATCTTTTTTCGACCACCGGATGGCAGTATAAGACTGTTTGAAATGAAGGATGGATAGTGAGGGAGAGAGCAGCGTGTCTCTTTAAGAAAAATGGGAGGGAGGCCCCTTGACGTGACACGGGCTGTCTCTCTTCGGTTCTCAAAATGGCGGACGCTCGGTGTGATTTGAGCTCTTTAGCATAGCGTTTTTCACACAAAGATTTAATTTTTTTTAAAAATCAGTAAACAAGTTCTCAACTTCTTGTTGCAGAGAAAAACAACTTTTTACACAAAGGCACGAATTTCAACCGTGAATTTTGGAGCTTCGACAAGACGGACGTTCCCCCCCCCAAGGTCGGCCTGATAGCTTAGCTCGTAGCTTAGCTTCTTCTAATAATCCATAAACAAGATTTTGGACGGTTAAAATAGAAAGGGAGGGGTCAGTGAAGAGCACCGGAGTTGAGCCTTTGATCATCCAGCGTCTTCAGTAGAAAGAGAGACGAAGAAACGATAAAGCCAATAAATGAAAATGAGGTCGATAATTTTTATTTATCATGCGATTAATTGATTTATTGTTTATTGCGACAGGTCTATGCCAAACTACTTATATTTTCTTCTTTCGGCTGTTCCCTCTTCAATGGTTGCCACAGCGTGTAGTCCTCCTCCATCTCCCTCTGTCCTCACTCCATCTACCTCCATGTCGTCTCTAACTGCATCCATGTATCTCCTCTTTGTCTTTTTCCTGGCAGCTGCATTTCTAACATCCTTCTACCAGTATACCCACTGTCCCTCCTCTGGACATGTCCAAACCATCTCAGTCTGGCCTCTCTAACTTTATCTCCCAGTTGTTCAACCTGTGCTGTACCTCTGATGATCTCATTCCTAATCTTCTCCATCCTTGTCACTCCTGAGAAGAACCTCAACATCTTCATTTCTGCTACTTCCAGTTCTGTCTTTTTGTCCATGTCTCTGTCTCCAGACCATACAATATATCTGGACTCACCACTGTCTTGTAAACTTTGACCTTTGTTGACCCGTTTGTCACAAATCACTCCTGAAACTTTTCTCCATCCTGCCTGGACTCTCTTTGTGACCTCTGCTCCTTGTAGCCTCACTGTTCCACCGGCCTCCCTCTCATTCACACATGTACTCTGTCTTACTTCAGCTGACTTTCATTCCTCTTCTTTCAAGTGCACACCTCCACCTCTCCAAGTTCTCTTCCACCTGTTCCCCGTTCTCACCACTGATCACACGGTCATCTGCAAACATCAGTCCACGAGGATTCCTGGACTAAACTTAGACACAAACAGAAAAACAGGTTTTACCACATAAACGGTGCGACTGTCGACGTTATCCGGTGGCTCGCTGAGCGGATGTTTACGTCTCACTTTAGTTCCTTCGAGGTTGACCTACAATACAAACCAGAATTACGTGACCAACCAAAAGTGTGAGCCAGTTTAGTCACAGAGTGAAGCTGTCACTACCACGTATGGGAAACAGGTTTTCTTTGCTGCACCTGAACTACAGAGGAGTTTTTCAGCGCTCTGGCGATCAGTTTAGTGTCGGTCGTCAACTTTGTCATCCGATTGAAGCTCGTCAGCACGGAAATGTCGACATCTACGACAAAAAGAACGAGAAGTTTAACATCGTCATCAACTCAAGAGTCTGACACGTCGACGTTCCGACTCTTACACCCGCTGTCGGACTCGTCGATGAGCTTCTTCAGAAAACGGTCCTTGTGAAGGTTGACGTCTCCAAACCAGAACTCCACCAGCTTCTTGATGTCGCCGAGCAGCTGCTTGACGCGGGACCGCTTCTTTTTTTCCAACTCCTTGTCCTTTTCCCCACGTTTCGCGACGTCGCCCGCCGCCTTCTTTGAGTCGGTCATCCTGGACGTAGGGCAGGTTACACTTTAACATGCATTTATTGGAGCAAAATAAAATCAAACTGATTGTTTTTCACGTAAAATCTGATGTTCTAGTTCATGTAAAGAACCAAAATTAAATGTACTTGTCATGTTTATCAGGTACTTCAACTTTTGTATTTTAAAAAGCAAACTATTAAATAAGATAGGCAGCCCAAATGCAATTCCAACCACTTGTAAATAACTTAATTTAAAATAAAAGTGTAGAATTACAGTATTTACATTGATTAGAGCAGAAAATGAGCACACCATCACTTTTTTTATTACTGTTATTATAATATATTTACTACTTTGGGTGCAAAACACAGTTTGAATCTGGTTCACCTGATTTTTAATACTAATATCAGCAGCTCGGAAACATTTGCTGATTTTATTAACATTTGAGGTTAGTAAAAGTAGAATTAGCGCAGCGATGATTTAAAATAGCGACAGATTGTTGATGTTTTCTTCTCCAAACTCGTAAAACCGTCACTTAACTTTCAAAGAGCTTTTTTTTTTTTTTTAAATAAACTCACCTTATATGAGGAGTTAAAAAGGCCAGACTATTTCCACAAGTACAAAAATATCATTAGACTCAACTTGCAGACATCGGAGCAGACCGTCTGGCGGCGTCGCAGAGTTTATACGTCATGCGTTCGATTCAATTCCCGGTACGTTGTTTCAAAATAAAAGCTCACAGTCAGTTTTATTGATAGTTTTGCGCTCAACAGATACATACAGACAGATAATGTAGAAATAATAAATAAATATATATTTTAAAAAATCACAAACATTAGAAAAAAGACGTGCATCGCATAGCTTACGGCACACATGCTCTGACATTCAAAATATCCAAACGAATAAAAACATTTCTATGGGAGTATGTTTCATAAGTATACAAATTAAATAAATAATACAGTACATCATTTAATAGTGATACCAAGAACCTCTTTTTATAGCGTTATTAATATCACCATTATACCCAGCCACTGTCCTATTGATAAGAAAATAAGCAGATTCTGTTGAAACAACTGGCCGGTTAGCTCAGTTGGTTAGAGCGTGGTGCTAATAACGCCAAGGTCGCGGGTTCGATCCCCGTACGGGCCAACTACTTTTTACAATATTAACTTGCTTTAAAATGTTTTTTTTCTTACTTTATTTTTGTTGTAATGTACACATGTACATATTATATGATCAGATGTGTATGTGCATATTGTCTTTCCAAATTTGCTTCTTTTTGATTATGTCATGAAATCTATCTATCCATCCATCCAAAATAATCCAAACTTTTTAAATATATTATTCTCCATAACTATTCAGATCCTCTTGTTTCAATTCAATTCAGTTTATTTATGTAGCGCCAAATCACAACAAAGTTGTCTCAGGGCACTTTACAGGAACATTCACATACATA